GGGGGAGCCCCCCCCACCCGGGGCGCGAAAAAATTGACGTTCTTATCTACCGCCTTGCACTCTTCCTGTTGCTCGCTCATCAGTTTTGATGCGAACACGGTCACACTCACTTCTGAAATACTATTTTTAGTTTAACGCAGGCTTGTTCTTAGAAAAAAAGATAACTGAAAAAGTGTCATTTATTTACTAAAGTGCAAAAGTACGCAAAGCCAGCTAGATCTAGTTGTTAGTTGAAGGATGCTCGCTCTTTGGTTACAATAAAAGTTCATCTGTCCTGCCCTCCCCCTTCTCTATTTCTTTCTCTCCCCTCCCTCCCATCGTCTCCCCCCTTCCCCCGTCTCTCTCTCTCTCTCTCTCTCTCTCTCTCTCTCTCTCTCTCTCTCTCTCTCTCTCTCTCTCTCTCTCTCTCTCTCTCTCTCTCTCTCTTTGGGGTGTCTTACTATCCATTCGTGTAAAGTGCGCCCCCCCCCCCCCCCGGGGCAATGCCACTGACTGCAGTGTCTTTAGGCCATTCCCAAAGGGGGGACATTTCTCGTTCAGTCACAGTAGAATTGTAAATGGGCTGGTTCATGTCACGCTCATAACTGTGCCTGATCTACAACAGGGAACTGCTGCTTTTTCCTTCCTAACCCTTACTATTGTCATTTTCCTCTACTTCTTTTGTATGTCTGTCACTCTCTTGTGACCTGCTATTTTGGGGCGCCTTGATAGTCGAAGCAGACCTTGTGCTGTTGAAGCTAGAGAGGTGAGCAGAGTAAGTCTGATTCCATGTAAAGACTTCTCTGTTTACACCCACCCTTGGCGCTCATATGACCTTATGCAGTTGCAAGCGCTGTAAAACTATATAAAAAAGTGCGTTTCCCAAGCACACGTAACGTCGGAACGAGCTGAGTCTCGAACCCCTGAACTCGCAGTCTTACAATACTACTCCATTACTCTAACCACCAGGCTATCGATTCCACCTTGATTGTTTTGATGTCTTTCTCGTAAGCCAAACAAAATAAAACGCTCGTTCATGTTTATGTAACAATGTAGGCGACAATATCGACACGAACAATATAAACTCTCTCTCTCTCTCTCTCTCTCTCTCTCTCTGTCTGTCTGTCTGTCTGTCTCTCTCTCTCTCTCTCTCTCTCTCTCTCTCTCTCTCTCTCTCTCTCTCTCTCTGTCTGTCTGTCTGTCTGTCTGTCTCTCTCTCTCTCTCTCTCTCTCTCTCTCTCTCTCTCTCTCACATACATACATACATACATACATACATACATACATACATACATACATACATACATACATACATACATACATAACATACATACATACATACATACATACATACATACATACATACATACATACATACATACATACATACATACATACATACATACATACATACATACATACATACATACATACATACATACATACATAACGTCCCTTTCTTTCTCTCTCTCTCTCTCTCTCTCTCTCTCTCTCTCTCTCTCTCTCTCTCTCTCTCTCTCTCTATCTCTCTGTCTATCTGTCTGGGTGTCTGGCTATCTATCTATCTATCTGGGGGGGTATAAAAGTCTATGGGTGTGTAAGTTGTGAGCTGTTTCCCTTCCCCTTTTACTATATATATATATCACATATACCTATATATATATATATATATATATATATATAGATATATATATATATATATATATATATATATATATATATATATATGTATATATCGCGCTCGCTGTGTGTGTGTGGGGGGGGTGTGCGCGCGCGCGCTCTCTAGGGGGATATGTGGGAGGGTATATGTATATAGCTATCTATGGTCGGTGGGCTGTGGGTGTATGGTGTATGGATGGGGTAGGTGTGTGTGTGTGTATCTATCTATCTGGG